AAACCAACTGGAATCACCAAAAGAGCACAACAAAGAGAAAAAAACATACATAGGAAAGAAAACAGGGTGGTAGAGATACCAAGCTCCGACCCCGACAACGATGATGAATCCCACCTCGAGGAATCTTCATTTCAATTCGATAAAAATATGTTTACGAATTGCACAAGCATTGACATTCAAAAGGACGTTGAGAACAATCGCAACCCACATGGCAGTCGCCAGTAACGAAGTCTTACTGCTGTTGGATGCTTGAGGTATGACGACTGCATTTTTCCCGCTTTTGGGTAGCTGCAGGGAGGGCAAGTTCTGGTGGTTGCTGCATGATTGATCGGATTGCGTAAGATGTCCTATCATGATCGAGTATTATGAAAATTACGTAGTAACTTCATTGCTTTTAATATATATATATATATATATATATATATATATATATATATATGGTGCCTTCTATGGTACCTTGGGTGGAATCTGGGGTACCGCATACCTTGAGTATGAAAACGGTATCTAAACCTCAAATTAGCAGGATTTTTTGATATGTTACTGTACCCTAACCCTTAATGAGTGAACCCTAGGTCCTAATTATCTAAATCATAATCTATATTTGGACGAATCATAATCGTCGATTATTGTTTCTAATTAAATTGATCTTGGAGTATAAGATTGGGAGAATTAAGACCTAGATTTTGATCTTTAAGGGTTTGTGTATAATATCATGTCCGAAAGGGTTTGTGTATAATATCATGTCCGAAAGATCGATCAATTCAAGGTCTAGATAGTATTTTCATACTCATGGGTATGCGGTACCCCGAATTTTACCCAGGGTACCGTAGAACTTGCCATATATATTCGCGTGCAGAAATGCAACAAAAGAAACGATTTGGCCTAGTAGAGCGTACAATTTTCTTTGATAATTTATCATACTTTTAACATATTTTTATATCAGTTATCAGTTACGGTCCGATATATTTTTCTCCAGTAAGTTTAAAAATAATTTAATTTTGTTGGGAAATCAATTTGGTTATTTCAAAATTATACTTTGATTAACTTTCAACTTGAACTTGTAAGTTTTTAATTTATAAATTATATCTTTAATGATAATTTCATTATATATATAAATGATAATTTTCTTGTTAAAAAAATACTAATATTGAATAACATGCTACATATTGAAATGTATGTATGATTAATTTTTCTTTGATATTTTACTCATTTATATTGAATCATAATAGATTTATCAAGAGCCAAAGTTCTGATAATAATACTAAAATATCCGGTCTCTCGAACCCAAAATCCTGGCTCAGTCTCCTGGACTATGCCATTACGCATAGAATAGGGCTTATACCTGACATTAGTCGGAGCATCATTGCTAGACTTCGGAGCGATGATTCTGGATGCGCTTGATGGCAAAACGCCTGCATCCAAATATTCAAATACTATTTATACATCTGATATTGTACGTTATAATTAGTGGGAAGGAATCCATGAAACGAAAAGAAGCAAGTGAATATACATGATTGAAGGGCGACCAAAAGTATGAGAGGAAGCAAGACTGCCGCCAAGTTAGCAAGACTGAGGGCTTGCATCTTCATCTTCTTCCCCATGGCTACTCAAATGGCTTCTACAAGCTAAGCTAAGCTGCTGTTGACGAGCTTTTGCTGCTTATCTATATATAATAATAGTGGCAGATTATGAAGACGGCTTCGATAGCTTCATTGCTTCCTCTTTGTCTCTCGTGGATTCTTTATTTGCCGCCATTGCTGGGATAGCTCAGGTAGTTAACATCAGCACCTGCTTTTATGCATTGTGCTTGCACATCACGCGGAGGAGACAATGCAATTTTGTTTTTGGTTCAAGGGATTCAATCATTTGCCTGCCGGATTTGTTCCTTAAAAATTGACAAGGGATTCAACCATTTGCCTCTCTGGCATGCGTGGCAAGAAGCCTCCTCTCCCTTGTAACAAGCCAGTTGGTATGAAATTTGGCTCTAAAAAAAATCCTGATTGAAACAGGGAGACGGACTTGGTGGCAAGTTATGTAACTGGCCAGCAAGCCGACAAGGTGGGTAACAAGGTCTAACTAACTCATTGAGGTGGCTAGCAAGCTAGGGATTTCAAGCCGATGAGACGGGCTAGCTAGATAACGAGGGTAACCTAATTGATAACAATATGAACTAATGTGGAGTCATTGAGGCTGTCAAAGGTGTGATCAAGACTTCATCAAGGCGACAAAACATGAGTGAAGTGCAGCTTAACACCAACCCCCGCTCGAGGTTTAGACCATAAAGCTGACACCAACCAATCCTCAAGACAGGGTGTGGGGTCCCCAAGGCGATGAGAGTTAATACCAAGGCGACGGTTATCAATTGGTCAACAAGGTCACGATGAGGAAGAAAAAGTGTCCGATAATATTAAAGAAAAGGGTTATAGGTATAATATGTCCTTCTACTATGTCATTTCATCAAACATGCACCTCTACTATTTATTACATCAAACATGCCCCTGTACTTTTGGGAAATTATATCAAACATGCCCTTCTGTTAAAATTTTCATAAAAAAAAAGTTAACCACGGTCAAACTTTGGTTTGGGCTGCACAAATGTCTAAAATATCCCCAATAACTTGACTTTAGAATTATTTTGGTTCTCTTGTATAGCCAAATAATTCTAATAATTTCACTTTGATGAGACCAAGAGAAATAAAACATGGGACAAAACTGGCATTTTCCCTCCCGTTTGCCGATGCCGAGTCATTCCTCCCTCAGCCTCCCTGCTATTGCTAAATGAGAATGTGGATTCGAATACCTCCTTTTTGTAAGTAACTGTTTTAGGCATCTATCCCATTTAAGACGTCCGGGTCGTCTAAATCTCGGTTCAATCATGATTGACAATTTTTTCAATGAAAATTTTAACAGAAAGGTATCTTTGATAATTTTTCCTAAGTATAGGAGCATGTTTGATGTAAAAAATAGTAAAGAAACATGTTTGATAAAACGACATAGTAGATGAGCATATTATACCTATAACCCTATAAAAAAACCGAAATCACCATTAAACATTGAGAGCAGTCAACTGGCCGACAATTATTAGGGTGTTTTATGAGAGTACTGTCGGCCAGGAAAAGCAGAAAACATCCAAATCATTGCGCAACAAAGTACGTTGATCAGAGTGAAGGCGACAATGCATGCTTGGACCTCCATGGATCTCCCTTCTGTTATCATCATCATCTTCATCGCCATGGCTGGATACTCAAATTAATTACTCTAATATTAGCTGCTTTGAGTTTAATTCCTTTCGAGTAGCTTGTTATTGATATGCATGTTGACGATGGCGCCTAGCTTGCTGCTTGTGTATATATAGTGTAACGAACCAACGATTTATGAAGAGGACTTCGATATCTTCATAGCATCCTCTTGTCTCTCATGGCTGCTTTATGCTCTGTAAATTTAAAGTTTGTGCTTTGTTTGTAGTGCGCGGAGGGGACGATGCAATTTTGTAGTTTGTTTGTTTTTGTTTTCGGTTGAAGGGGTTTTCCCAAGCTCTCTGTACCTTTATTAGCCGCTTTATTTTATATATAATAAGGAAAGAAAGAAGGAGAAAGCATAACCAGAATTACAACGAGGCAAAAGTGGCAGATTTGATCATGAGTAGCAGATGCATGCGCATACACCCAAGTCGCAGCGGCAACCAACAAAGCAGAACTCGTGCGGATCATGGCCGTCACACAGATTTGGGAAATCCCTCTGGCAGGTCTCGTCGTCGCACTCGTAAGTGCAGTGATCATCCCGCACCGTGGATGAATTACCATTACTACTGTCGCTGGATGCGGGTCGAGGAGGTATCATCACCACGCTGCCACCTCGTCGAAAACTACCGCCAAAAAAGAAGAGGAGATTTTGTGACTAAACTATAAGTGGTCGTTAAATGTTTGGACTTGGTCATAATATATTAACTTTTCGTGAAGGAAACTAGTATTGGTCACAAAAGAAGGGTTTTTTGTAACTAACTGAGTTGGTGATAAAAAAAAATCTCTCAAAATGGTCACGAGAAAGCAAGTAATCGGTCACAAAATCGTCGAAGCGTTGTACCTGATATTAATCCGAGCAACGTTGCGAGACTTGGGACTAACGATTCTCGAAGGCGAAGCACCTTCACGCAAAATTAAAAATCAATACTATATATGAATAGATATTGTTACAACGAGCGGCATGAAGATTCGATAAAACAAGAAGTAGTGAATGTAACGTACATGGAATTAGGGCGACCCATATAATTATGATCGAAAGCAAGACGGAAAACTTGGAAATACTAGGCAGCTGCACCTTCATCATCATCGCCATTATCAAATAACGTACCAATCAGCTGTTTTTCTTTTTCTTCTTCCTCTCTTCGATCTGAGTTTGTTTTCTTTTCGTTGTGTGTGTGCACGTTGATGAGCAATTAATGAGAGCCTTATAAGCTTGCTGCTATGGTCTGTATATATGGTGGATCGATTTAGGAAGAGGAACTTCGGTAACTCCATTGCTTCTTCTTTTTTTTCCTAGTCTTGTTTTCATGGGTTCATTTGCCGTCATTGCACAAAACTTTACCAGCTTTGGTTTGGGTGATCGAAGGATTCTCCTGATGGTTAAGTTTATTATCCTTTTGCCAGCTGATCGGGTTTTTAGGTTGAAGGGATTCATTCTCCTGCTTTATGCTCTCCAAATTGTAAGCTTATGGTTGCAGAGTGCGGAGGGGACGATCGATGATGCATTCTGTTTTGTTTGTTTTCAATTTGATTGAAGCGGGTAGGGTGTGCAATGGTTCGGTCCACGTCGAATCAAATCAGACCGGAAGCTATATTCATTATAATAATCTCTTCATGATCACACTACATGTTTCGACATATGTTGGATCGTTATATATGGGAGTCGAAAGCAGAGAATTATTTATACGCGATATCTTCGAAACTCTTGTTGCATGGTAGAAATATCGGATTATTGAAGATGACAAGATGAACAGCTTCTTATTTTTATTATCATTTATTTAGGAAGAAAAGAAAGAAGAAAAAAAACACATACAAAGGAGTCCCAACTCATCACCTTGGAAGGAAAACAAACCGAAATCATAGTAATACAAAGCAAATGAAAACCATAAAGAACGGTCGGCCCGCCGACAATTATTAAGGTGTTGATGAACGTTGAGAAAACAACAGGATCGTCCATCTGAAAGATCAGCATACCACAAATTTATTTGGATTTCCCTTCTGTTAAATATATATGAAAATATATTTATTCGCTGCAGTAGCAATAACAATAAAGGGTGGAACAGTCGCAAGTCCCCCTGCAAACGTTACGATCTTGTCCCCGACAGAACCAATCGTAATATCGATCACATGCAGCGTCGTTGCAAGAAGGAGTGCAATAATCCTGTACCGAAGCCGTACTGTTCTTGGATGTCGACTGAGGTATTGTCACCACACCTGTTCCTCTTTTAGCCACGAGATGGGAGGCCAAAATCTGGTGGCTACTGCATCATCATTGACGATATCGCATCAGAAAAGTAGCGTAAAAAAAAAAAAATTTGTTGTGCCAAGAATATTAATTAAACACCGAATTTTTTTTTAATCATCTTGATAGATATAGACTATGCGCCGCCGTCATCGATGGACCAGACTGTACCTGACGTTCGTCGGAGCATCGTTACCAGACGCCGCCGGACCGATGATTCTCGATGCGCTTGAAGGAAAAATGCCTACATTTCGAAACATTCAATACTATTATGAATACATATATATTGTTATTGTAGCGCATGAATAGATAAAGCAAGAAGTGAAACGTTACATATTATGAGCAGAAGCAAGACGGCCGCTGCCGCCGGCTTAGCAATACTTGTGGGCTGCATCATCTTCATCGCCATGGCTGTTGAAATTACACTTGTAATAAAAATAAGCTGCTTTGAGTAATTCGTTTGAAGTATATATATCTCGTTGGTTATGTATTCAAGTTGACGATTCCTTGCTGCTTGATTGTCTATATATAGTGTAAGAAATTTATGAAGAGGACTTCGATATCTTCATTGCTTCCTTCTCCGTCTCTCGTGGGCGCGAGCGGAGGGGACAATAATAAATTTTGTTTTTTTTTTGCGAGTTTTTCCAAGCTTTATACCTTCAAATTAACAAGGAATATTTGTTACCACATGCATATTGATCATGTTGAAGTCATTGTAGCGTTGTAGTAATATTGACTAAAAAATTTGTTATGATGAATGACTTTGTTCTTCACAAAGTAATCAAGTGTTTGTATTTTATGATACGTTGGACGTTTATCCGCCAGAGTTCTTTATTTTGACAAAAAAACATAAGTTTTGCCAAAACAATTTTTATTTTTATAAAAGTTAATATTTACTAAAATGACTTAAACGTGATTAATATGCATGTGGTAAGAAAAACATTCCTTGTCAATTTTAAGGAATAAAGCTTGGAAAATAAAAGGCATTGTCCCCTCGGCTTGCTGCAGCCTGCAACTACAAGCTTACAATTGACAGAGCATAAATATCACCAATGAGAGACAAGAGAAAACAATATTGTAAATATCGAAGCCCTCTTTGTAATTCCTTACACTATTAATAGACAATCAAGTAGCAAGCTAATTAAGGCTCGTCGATCAACGAGATACTATTTCATCATACGAATTACTCAAAAACAGCATCTTTCAAGTACTGTATAATTTGCATATCCATGGCGATGAAGATGCAGTTCCGCAGTATCGTTACCTCCGCGGCGTTCCGTCTTGCTTCCGCTCATACTGTTGGTCGCCCTTCTATCATGTACAAGTATAGGAGTTTTAGAAATAGTAACTTGTAACTTATATTATTGGGACCAACTGGTTTATTACGTACCGTACGTTCCCTTCTTGCCTTAAATGGATGTCTCCGCTTCATGTCATGTGTGTAGTATTCACTATATATCTGCATGCAGGCGTTTTGCCTTCAAGCGCATCGAGAGTAGTTATTCCGCAGCCAGCCAATCTCTACGATGCTCCGACTAACGTCAGGTATAGTCTATCTATTGAAGAGATCGACCACTTTACCATTTTATTGCCGATGAGGAAAATAAAGACAGACAAATTCATACAAAGCAGTCCCAACTCATCATTGGAAAGGAAAACTTTCCACAGGAAATTAAAAAAAAAAAAAAATCGAATCATCGATATGAAAGAGCACATCAAAACGAAGAAAAGAAAAACACACATGGGTATCCCTTCAACTAATTAAACATGATATAATATTTCATTTAGGGCAGAAGCAATAACAACTATAGGCCGGGCAGTCGCATGTCTGAAAGCAAGTACTAGGTTGACCATCACACAACCACGGGTAATAGTTCCGACACGCTTCGTCGTTGCAGAAAGCATTGCACCATTCCTGCACCGAAGCTGTACCGTTGTTGTTGGATGCTCGAGGTATCACGACTGCACCGGTTGTTGCTCTTTCATGCCGCTTCAGAGAAGGCAAGTTCTGGTGGTTGCTGCATTAATGATTGACCAGGGTAACAACTATTTATCAATTAATTAATTCGCGAGATTGTATGAGAAAAAAAAAAAGCAAGTTATACAATGAAAAATATTCAATGAAAGACAATATGATCTGCCGATGAATGTCGAGCAGAGTATCATCGACAGATCACATAGACTATATACCTGACGTTAGTCGGAGCATCACTGCCAGGCTTCGGAGAGATGATTCTCGATGCGCTTGAAGGCAAAACGCCTGCGGACCATATTACGAGGAGAAGCAAGATGGCAGCCGACGTAGCAATACCGATGGACTGCATCATCATCATCGCCTGCCTGCCTGCCTGCTTTTATAGCTTCAAATGAACAAAGGAATCTTTCGTATCTCATATTGGATGATTTGACAGAATTATTATGGACTGTATGGATATTATTGGGTCAAATGGAATCACATGTGCTCTCGATCATTAATCGTTTTGGATTGAAGTTGGGTCCAATTTGAGTCATCTCATTAATGAGTCCACTTGAGTAAAGATGATATGCAACAAAATGTCATTAAAAGGCGGAAAAATGTCACAATAGAGGTATACCGACGTTTTACGCAAACGACGCAAAAATGTCACTTAATCGAGTGTCACTGAATTCTATGGTGACATTTGTTACAACTGTCATCGGTACCACTTTTGCGCGGCGTTTATTTTGCATATTGTGACACTTATGATTGTAGCATAAAAACATCTTTAGCGACGCTTTAAAGTGTCATATGTGATGTATATAGTGACATTTCTTGTGACGTTCTAAAGTGTTATTATTGGTGATGCAAAAAGTGACATTTCTCGCCTGATTATGGACTAACTACTCTCGTTGTGATAGATAGACTATACCATCATCAACAAACTATGCCAATGTCAGTCGGAGCATCGTCAAAGATTCTCCGACTACAAACTAACTGGTCTCAAATGCGCTTGAAGGCAAAATGCCTGGATGAAGGCAGTATCACTCGCACCTGCCAGCGTATGGGCAGGGGCAGGAACAGAGAAGTTCTTCATCGGGGTACTCGGGCTTCGCCCGCTGGGTATGCCTTCCATCTTAGAACAAGAATGGTTATTTTTTATTTTATTTTGTCAAAACAAATAATTACATAAATTAATAAATATCTATGTGTACAGTCAAATGGTTGAGGTTTATGCCACGTCACCAATTAGCATCCAACTCAGCGATAAAGCTGCCACGTCAGAATCAAGTAACAGTTGACCGGACCGGAAGTTGAAAATTTGACTATTAAATTGTTTTCAAAAAGATTTGGTTATTATTTTGTTTAAAATAAAAAGATTTGACTATTATATTGTATTTACCCTAATTCATACCTTAAATCTAGCAAGTAATATTCTTACCACGTGTTCATGTTGAATTCATTGAAGTAATAGCAACTTGTTCTGTTTTTTAGTAAATACTGACATATATAAATATATAGTTTTGTCTTGGATGCACTCACCTTAGAGCATCATTAGTTCCATTGCAGAAAAAGAAAATCAACCTAGTTTATCCTCATTTTGTATGCACTTTTGAGGATAGAACTAGCATAGAAAAATGGAAATGCAAAAGAATACATCATTTGAAAAAAAAAACTAGTTATTTCTTTACTTCGAAATTATGAAATTTCCATCCTAAATTTTTTATTTTTTATAAAAACAAAAATTTTGTTATTGTTTGTTGTTTGACCGATGCGACCAAACATTGTATTCTACAATGCATCAAATTCGACAATACATGTATAATATTATTCATGCATTCTCAACAATACATCCATTTAACAATCGCAACTTCCAAACTACCCCTTTAATTACCATATTGATGAGACCAACCGGCTACAAGACACAAGACTAGGGTTATAAGTCGATGGATCGAGTATATTCTAACCTCTCACAAAGTTTGGTTCTTAAGGTTTGGATCTTCTTACAACAACATTCATACTAGTGAAAATGCTAGAACGTATACGATACGTACGTAAGTAAAAGCACATATATAGTTTCTGCCTCTCTATTATCTCCCCCTACAATCTAGAAAGGAGATCGAGAAGAGTAGAGAATGAAAAAGCCGGCAGCACATAGATAGATATCTTCTTCTTCTTCTTCTTCCATCATCATTATATTATTCATGGCGATTATATATGTAATTATCAGTAGCTGCTACGGTGGAGGTGGCGTGGGACAAATTTGTACACATTCCATCTGGTAACAGTCGCAACCGGCGAAGCAATAAGGTTCAGCGCTATACCAATCAGGGTAATCAGCAGAGCACATATCGTCGTTGCAACTCCAACCGCAGTTGGCCTCCACCGATGCATTCCGACGACTAGCGGCGGTCCTTCCTGTGGTCTCCGGTCGACGGCGAAGTTCATGATGATTCTCGGCGGGGACACTGCATGCATGCGGCAAATCCGAGATGTATAATTCATGTGGGCCGATATTACACAATAATAGTAGAAAATAAGACCCATTTAGAAATCTACTGGTTAATGATAATACCACTAGCGTAGAATCTGAAGTTTCCCGATTTAATTCCCTACGTCACCCTTTATAATATTAAAAGAATCGTGATTGGGCGTTTCAGGGAGACCAATATATACCTGACATGGACCTCTGTACCGCCGGAAGTGTTAGTAGCAGCTGTTCCCGCCGGAGAAATATCATATCGGGAACTGACTTCTCTCGATTCGCCTAAAGGGCAAAGACCTGCAACCCGCAAGCAAGGTTGTCAAACCGGTTTAAGTCATTGAGCCTGTCAAGCAAGGGGTTTTAACTTTAATGGTCTGATCGGGGTCTGACCGGTTTGACCCGTTTTAGTCGTTTTAAAACATATATACAAATAAGGTAGTAATTAAAGATTTAATGACTGAAATGAAATTTATCTTACATATGTATCTATTAAAAACTTATTTTCCACAAAATAACTCTACCTAACCTCCATGAGACCATGACCCACCCACCATCACCCTTCCTTCGTTCCTCTTCCTCTCTTCCCCCTCTCTTTCTTTAAAGGTCAGACCGAATGGCTTTCTGGAGGCCATTTGAAACCCGATTTAGGTCCGATCGGGTCCAACCGAAGGTCCAATAGAGGTTTAACAACCTTGGTCTTCCTCCACGGGCCACATCCATCCCACAAACTCGTCGCACCAAGGTTTGACGTACGTACAATTGCCAACTCAAGAAGGAAACCACGTACACGGAATGAAGAAGAAAAATGTATGAAATGGTAAGGGGAAAATACCATACATGGAATTACGACGACCCATATGATCAGCGGGAGCAAGACGGGCAACTTGGAAATCTTGGGCTGCATCATCGCCATGGCCGTTCTTATGATCGAATCAGCTATCTGTGTTTCTTGTTTGAGCTTTCTTTCAAGTAATTGGTTATGGTATGCATGATGATCACTTCTTGCTGCTTAGTTTATATATAATAGTGATCAAAGATTGGGATAATCTAATCTTCTTCATTTTTGTATAACAAATCAACGTGCGTACGTAACTGGATTAGCCGGAATTCCTCTTAGCTTCTCTTTCGGTTATTAAATAATTTTGCATTCCTTGTCTCACAGGGGGTATCTGCTGGTTTATGCTTTGTAACTAGGTCGGCTTACATTAGTTAATTATTAGGCAAACATACTGATTAATATTATTCCTAATAAATTCATCACAAATTAGGAAGACACTAGCAGTTTAGACACTCTTCCGTTTGTTTCCTGCGGATCCGTCCAGTACTTGTGACATGAATATATTTTTTTTATCACTCGGTACCGATTTTTCAAGTGGTTATTTGAATGAAGTATTGATTGACAAAGAAAACAAAAGCACTAACCACATATTGTTAGAGACCAAGGCTGTGTGTGGATTTCAAATATTTCGTTGAGGTATCAAATCTTCTATTACTACATCAACCAATTGTATAGGAAAAAAAATTGACGTTCTTGACTTTTTATTTATGAATTTGATACAATTAACACTTAATAATTTGCATACTAATATCAAATGGACATTACACAACATGGTGACCTAGTATTAGTTCAAAAATATTCCTTATTTTCTGTTTTTTGAAGTCGATGGTCAGTGTGTGGTAAGGTTATTAAATATGATGATTATTTGATAGTATATAAGCAAGAAACAACACTTTGTCATGTGAAAGTGGGATGCAGGTCATTTGGTTGATCTCCAACCCACTCACCGCCTAGTCGAATAAGTGCAGGTAGAAATTTTCAATCCACATTCCAACCTCACCAAACACTCTAGTTTTCCCTAAAAAAATAGAGTAATGACTATTTATTAACCAAACCTCCTTTTTTTATTAGCCAAAACTATTGAACTACTAAGAAACTGTATTTAAAAACTGTATTTAACAACTATCTGAAGGACTTATAAACTGTATTTAACACGGTAATGATGAAGTATTTGTTTGTCAAGAAATAGACGAGGTTGTCCCATGCACCAAGAATTTTTTTTTTGTTTTTGTCAGAAACATAGCTCGCGATTCCGTTGGATATGTATAGCAGTACTGTTGATGATCTCGACATTGGCTAGCTTTTCTAAAGAGATGATAAGGAAGTGCTTAAAACTCATATATGGATCTCTTTCAACAATTCGGTTTAGTCTGAACAGTTTGTTTATGACGGGGATGAGATAAGACGTGTAAGCTCTTTCGTGAGTTGGTCAATGTTTATATTTTGTACAATTCAACCATACGAGGGAGAAAAAAAAACTTCATTTGTATATAAGGGGTCGTTTGGAAGTTGCGATTGTTTTGTTGAGATTGTCATTATGCATGTATTGTTTACAATGCGTCGTTTTTTTGTTTTTTATCAGAAACAATACATGCATGAAAATTAAAAGCTGGTTACAAGATTTTGCCATACTAGTGAAGTGCTAGAACCTACGTACTTACGTAAGTAAGCATGTATATAAGGAGAGAACAGTAGAGAACGAAAAAGCCCAGCACATAGATCATCAATATCTTCTGCTTTCCATCATCATTATTCATGGCGATTATATGTAATTATCAGTAGCTGCTACGGTGGAGGTTGCGTGGGGCAAATATGTACACATTCCATCTGGAAACAGTCGCAACCGGCAAAGCAATAAGGATCAGCGCTATACCAATCAGGGTGAGCATCGGAGCACAACCTGTTGTTGCAACTCCAACCGCAGTTGGCCTGTACCGATGCATTCTGACCACTATACTCGGCCGTCCTTCCTGTGATCTCCGGTGGACTGCGAAGATCATCATCGTGATCGGCGGTGACACTGCAAGATATGCATGCAGCAAATCCCAGATGATGTATAATAATTCATGTGGCTCGATCTTACACAATATTATACTAGCTAGTATAAGTATACTATGTATGCGGTCGCGGATTCAGGACATAATATAGCACTGGACCACGTTTGAATAGTAAATTAGATACTGACGAGCATATATTGGGCCGAAAGAAATGATAAAAGTTGGAAGCACGTAGATCTCATTTACTATTATTAGTTCTGGATCCAGACGGAGGGTTGAGATTGTAATTAACCAGAAAAGGTCTCTCCCTGGATCCGATACTGCTCATGCAAGTGTCCAATGTTCACTCTATAAGTGAGTATATATAATACTAAAACGGTATAAGTTATTTAGGTACTACTTAACAGATTCAAACCTAGGACCACCAGGTTCAAAATTTTTATATAGATCATTTTGGTTCGTTTGATTCTTGCTCGAGCCGGATGGTGAAAACTTGTCATGTCCGGTTCCTTCGGAGGATGGGTTTGTAAAAATCCACCTATCCCAATAAAAAAAAAAAAAAACTGACCTAAATGATCCTGTATTAAGAGCGAAATTATCTAAAGGAACTGGTCATAATTATTATGGAGAACCCACATGGCTCAATGATATGTCGAGGGAATACCATTCTGCCGATCTTCAGCCGCAGACTCGGGAAGGGTCGCTGGCTTTTTCTCCAATTCGGGAAGGAGGTGAGTAATTCAGGAAGGGGTGGGTAATTCGGCTGGTTACGACCGGTTGGGTTGTACGGGTTAAGTGGGGTGATTAATTGCTTATTTAATTAATATTTTAATGACGTGTCATGCTGAATGGGCAACAGGTAACGGAGTTTTGGACGGAATTGGACGGATTGACCATTTCGTTATTAGTTCAAACTTGTTTTACCAAAACGTGCAAAATTGAAGAATTGTGACCGTTTTGTACAAAGTGAATAGGTTTGTGACCATTTATGATAACTACCCACCACTATTTATATTCCAATATCGATCGATTTCGTGAATGGCTGTTTCACGGCCGGAGACCTATACCTGACATTGATCTCTGTGCTGTCGCCGGAAGTGTTCGTAGCCGCCATCGCCGGAGCAATATCATATCGGGAACTAACTTCTCTCGATTCGCCTGTAGGGCAAAGACCTGCAGCCCGCAGTGAAATCATTACCATATGGGTGTATATGAAGAAGAAATTGAACGGAATGATAAGGGGAAAATAACGTGCATGGAATTAGGACGACACATATGATCATCAGCGGGAGCAAGACGGGCAACTTGGAAATCTTGGGCTGCATCAACATCATCATCATCATCATCGCCATGGCCGTTCTTATGAATCAGCTCTGTTTTTCTTGTTTTGAGCTTTGTTTGAAGTAATATTGGTTATGGTATGCATGTTGATCACTTCTAGCTGCCTAGCTATCTATATATAGACACTGTGAATATGAAGAGTGCTCAAAGATTGGGATATCTTCTTCATTTTTATGTAGAACAAACCGTGCGTACGTTACTGGATTAGCCGGAATTCCACTTCTTGTTCGATTATTAAACAATCTTATTGCTTGTTTTTTGGGTATTTTGCCGTCATTGAAAAAAAAAACTTGTCTATTTTCTATTCATTCTTGGTTGGTCATAATAATATGTTGGATTCTGCTGGTTTCTTAGGGGCCAATGCATTAGGTTTGGTATGTTCTTTTAAACCCGTTCGGGATTGGACCGAACGAACCAATTTGAAACAACCGTAGGGGACATAGTATCGAGAAGAAGAAGAAGGACTGGTGTAGAGATAAGTGGGCTCCTAGAAAGTTACCATGATGCACTCAAAAAGGAAAATCGTGCAAGATAGGCCAAAGAGATTTCAGTCTCAAATTGAATCACCCCGCTTATTAACGAGTTGATAAAATTATTGCCTACTATCCACCCACATTCTTATTTGAGTTTGGCTGCGTGATGTGTACGTCATACGTGGATGCAGTTGGGTTGCGGATTAACCCGCAAAGCAATTTTACAACTACTCATTAGGCAAGTTTACTAATATTTATAACATATATTCATCGCATATTAAGAAGACACTAGAAATTTAGACGTTTTCACTTTGTCTCTTATGGATCTGTTTAGTACTTGTGACATGTAATATATTTTACTACCTCACACCAACTTTTCAGTTGGTACTTTGAATGAAGTAATCATTGACAAAGAAGACAAAGTTACCAACCACATATTCCTCGAGATCGAGGATTATTACTTGTGTGAATTTCAATTATTTCGCTGAGGTATCAAATCTTCCATAACTACATCGAACAACTGCATAGGAAAATATTTGACGTTATTTATGACTTTGATAAAATCAACACTTTATAATTTGCATCCCAATATCAAATGGACATTACACAGAATAGTATAACCTAGTAGTAGCAGTTCAAATATATTATTTATTTTCTCCCTTTACAAGTCGATAGACAATGTGTGGTAAGGCTATGAAATATGATGACTATTTGATAATATAAACAAGAAACAACGTAACTCTTTCTCATGTGAAAGTGGGGTGCATGTCATTTTGGTGATCTGTAACCCACCCACCACTCACTCGAATAAATGAAGGTAAAAAAATATTCGATCATGATCCAATCACATCACTCACCATACCCACTGCGATTTGGATTATTATTTGTGAGTAGATCGATGTCAAACCGTGAATTAACCGCTCACATGCCCACCCCTACTTGCCGCGTAGGCGAGTAGCTACTGTTTTTTTTTTAATCTATAATAATGGTGATATAATGTAAGTATTATTACCAAAAAAGAGTTTACAAACATGAGCAGCACAAACAGCACATACAAAGAGTTTACACCGTAAAACTAGGAGATCTATCAGTCACAGAAAGAAGGGGGAAAACCCCAACCCAAATTACAGAAAACCATGGAAACTTCGCCGGCGATTATGGCGTCAACCGTCGGTAATCGGCCGGGGGTAAAGGAGATCGTCACGACGACACTGGCCTACGTACGTACGCAAACGTCCATTGTTTTTTTTTATCAATTAGATGAATCTTATGGTTCAGTCTAATTAGGGCACGGAGGTTAGCGTACGTAACAGCCAATGTCAGACGGCTGCAAACACAAATGTGTCTTTCTTCAATGACGGCAAAAACCCAATGAAACAACCCACCTAATGCCAATGGTTCAATGACGGCAAAAACCCAACGAGACAAAACGAACCAAGAATTCGAATCAAGGAATCACATAAGCGAAGACAAACCAAGTCTTGAGCTGTTACCCTAAATCATGTATATATATAATCATGTACATAACTTTCAAGAACACAAATATAGCCTTGGCGATGAAGCTGATTAGTTTTACTAAGTTGGCCGTCTTGCTTCCCCTCATATCTTCATGGCTCATCCTAGTTCCATGTACGTACTGTATATCCCAAACCATCGATCTTCTCATGATGATTTTCACACCATTATCTAGAGTAGTATTCATGATCTGCCTAAGCGCATGCATGCAGGCCTTCTGCCTTGGAGCGAATCGACGAGAACGATTGCTCCTCGATGGGGGAATGACAGCGATATTCGTCCCAACGATTCTGGCACTACGGAGGATCATCGGATCGATGTCAGGTATATTACATTTGTAAGTGTTGTGGTAATTGGTATATATATATATGATCCACGCGATTGAACTCCTTCCAACAACTCGAGTTATTGGGAGCAACCGGTTCTTGACAACATTACATCTCGTTGAAGCTCCATGATACCTAGGGATGACAATTTTGCCCATACCCATGGGTTTTTTACTATCCAACCCAATTGCGTTGGGTATGAAATCCAAATAGATGGATATGGGTAGACTTTGATGGGTTTGTACCCATACCCATTTACTTTGGGTTGGGTGGGCTTATAACAAATGGATTTGGGTTTGTACCCATTAGGGGTGGCTATACGGTCCGGTCCGGTTAAATTGGACCAAATTGATCCGATCCCAGTCCGGTTTTTTCGGGAATATAAGGACCAAAGATTGGATTGGATACACTCCGGTCTTGATCCGGTCCGGTCCCAATTTGATTTTGATTTTAGATTGAGCTTGTGGGGATTTGAGTGTTGGGGTCTCTTATCCGGTCTCTATCCAGGTTTTTTACCTCAAATCTAAGCCCGAATATGAGATTGGATTGTTTGCTATCCGTTCCCGGTCCGGTTTCGGGTAAAACAAAACAGTCCTGGACCAAATTGCCAGCCTAGTACCCATGCCCAAATACAAATTACAGTTTAGTACCTAAACTTAATAGATATGCAAATTTAGTACCTAAATTTAATTTTTTTTGCATATAAGTCCTCAAAATATCAATGGAAAATTACGTTTTGGTACCTATTTTTTTGTGTCTTACGTTTTGGTACCTAAAATTTTCAAGTTTTACAAATAGGTCCAATATTTGCATGTGTAGTTAAAACACCCTCAAGTAAATGGATATCCATATCCAACCCATACTCATTTAGATTATGGAAGTAATATTTATAATTTACCCAAACCCATCTACAAACTCCCAAACTCATATACACTTCACCCATACCCAACCCATTATCAATGGGTCTACAGTCTACTTGGGTTTGGGTATAATTCCTCATGGGTGGGTAATTGTCATCCTAATGATACCCAGCAGCTACATGCCATCTTAATTATTATTAGTTAGGGTTGTGTTGATCCAGCACAGTAGATTTTCATATGGCAGCTTAATTAGATCCTAGCTAGGTAAATGAAATAATTATGATATTGTTGTACACGTACAATTGAGGCGCAGGAACCAAAATCTGTACCGACTCAGAAATGCTTCAGCACAGTATTACTGTAATGACATCTGCAACGACCAAAACTGCTTCAAAAGTTACCCTGACATGTGCGGCAAGTCGTTTGATTATGTGGGTTGCGACTGTGAGCAGAATGCGTGCATATGCTATTACCTGATTTAACGATTTAATTTCCACTTGAAGAAGAAGAAGAAGAGATCAGATCGAGGATTTCATCGCTCTATTGTTGAATGTTCTTGTGGCCATTTGTCTAATGCAGTTCTGAGTTATTTAAAAATATTATCAATTTTGTTGAATTTCTATTTTCCACACACAAAAAAAAAAAAAAAAAAAAACTAATGAATGCCAGACGAGGCTGGATTTTCCCCCCACCGTTGCTGCTAATATCGGAATACAATTTTGAATATCCAATTTAACGACGGCTCTACTTAGAATAACGACGATCCAAAGATTGTGGCGAAAATGTCCTGACGGTCAGTCCAACCGCCAACGGCGTCCGCTGACCGTGGTAAAAGCTATTAACGATGGTTATTGTCGTCGCTAAATGATACTAAAACCGTGGCTAGCTCTTATGTCATGGGGTTTTTTTTTTTTTTTTTTTTTACCGTCGTTGCAGAGATAACTTCATTTCTTGGATGGTTTTGGTTTTTCATGGTTGATGCACTGTAAGTTGTAAGCTTCTGCCTGCAGTGCGCGGCGGGGATAGATGCCATTCGTTTTGTTTAGTTTGGTTGAAGAGTTAACTCCAAGCTTTATACCTTAAAATTACTAGATTTGGACCCGTCCGCTGGCCGGATGAACTATATTAGTGGTACAAATAATAATAGTAATTGTCTGAATCAAGTTACACTTTAATTTGGTATCATTGAAAATCATCTTCATTAATGAAACCTGATATTCACCATCAACAATCTCTTCCTTTTTCTCCTACATTCCATTGGAAACCAAATTTTAGTGGTAAACATTAGAAAATGTTTCTCATCCAAATAATAAATATTATCAACAATTTGTTCTTTCTTCCCATCATTGAAATTTTTATATCCACCATCAACAATATCTTCGTCTATCTTAGTAACATAATTATCTCCATCACTGAATTCCACTACATATACCATTAGCATACTCTTCCTTCTCCTTCTGCATTTCACTGAAAGCAAAAATTTAATGCCCAAAATATTTATAATTGTGAAACTACATTTTCAGGAACTTAAATTTACTCAGTATATGTCATGAACTTTGTCCGAGGATGCTCTTCTTCATCTTTCATTATCATCAAAACTATGTACCCACTTATGTTCACAATGTTGTGATCAGTGAATTTGATATGAAAATTTAACTTCATTCTCTTAATCTGTAGGGGATGGGGAGGTGAAGGTTTTTGGCGCTATCTTTCAGTAGTTTCTCAGTAGGCATTTCAAAAGATCTAGCACCCTCGCGACAAAACAATAAAGTTAGATTAAAAATATTGTCTGCCGAAACTGGATGCTAATCTATAAAATAATAACAATTGAGATACACTATTTGATAGAAAACTTTATGTTTTAGTGGGTTCAAATTTTTCTCTCGAATGAATGAACTTGAACTTAAAAATATTAGAATATTAGAGATAGATTATTATCCAACTACTACTTTCTTTGATGTTATATAATTCTTATAAAATTACTCATTAAAGTCTTCTTCGAATTTTCTTTGGCAAATTTAGTGAAAATAAAATTCCAATATCATGCATGAGATTGGAATAAATTCTCAGCCAACATTCAAAAAATCAAGCTCTCACACAATCTGTAACAAATAAGTAATTAAGTCTGCCTCAACTGTTTTGTCGTCAACTCGAAACTGAATGTATAATGGTAGTAATGGATGACTCATGAATAAAAATAAGCCCATCTCATGGATTTAAAGAAAACTAAGTAAAAGAACCGATGAGTCCTCCCGTACTATGCGCAGAACAAAGGAAAAAAGGAACGGAATGGCTACAGGCGGGGAACCTCCATATATGATTAGGAGGATTCAGGAATTTGTCTACCACATATATATTGATCTTAAAGTTATATCAGTAATATTAACTTTTTTATTTAATAAATGATGATTTATTAATAACGAGAACAAAAATAAGCGTACATGATGTCAATACCAAGTTGGTCATAATAACTCGAATTTTGGAAAATGTTCAATTATGAATCTCATACCATTTACTAACATTTCTCCCGAAATAATATGGGTTTGAATTTTTGTAGAACGCCGTTCTTGCCAAGATTGTATATCTTTTTTCAACCTACTCAAGTCCAAACCATTTGGACCCCTTAAAGGTTCTAACCAGGGAGCACGCAGATCCCAAAAAAGCATAGTTTCACCCCCAAAAATAACTTCTCCGGTAGGTGAACGCATTAGATATTTACCCAAACCTGTAGGTCCTTGAGCTGATCCCACATTAGCCCCAAGACGTTGGTCTCTAACTAGAAAAGTAAAAGCTTGAGCTTGAGAAACTTCTGATCCAGTGGGTCCGTAAAACTCACTCAGATAAGCCGTATTATTGAACCAGACAAAGCAACAAGCAATGAAACCAAAAACAGCTAAAGCACCTAAACTAGAAGACAAGTAAGCTTCTCCCGACCAAACAAGTGCAAGGCGAGCCCATGCAAAGGGTTTGGTTAAGATATGCCAGATTCCACCAAATATACAAATGGAACCTAACCATAAATGGCCTCCAATTATATCTTCCAAATCGTCCTCACTAACAATCCACCCTTCTCCCCCAAAAGGGGATTTTAGTAAATAACCAAAAATAATACTTGGGCTAAGGGTTGAATGGGTTAAGGGTGATTACTACTTTTTTAGTAGTCATCGTGGCTACCAAAATCTATACCATTCATTTGCTCTGTTTCATTTCATTTTTAAATTGACGATCAATATTAAATTAAGGATACTTTTGAAAACGAAAAATTACATCACACCTGATTACCATCCTTAATAAAATGAATTTATATATAATCTACCCAAACCCTAATACAATCCTTCTTCGTCGACAGTTTCTTCCCCATCTCCACATCCATCGGCTGCCAAATCTCCATCTCTCTCGCCTCCAACCTCCCTTCCTCCCCTGCCATGTTCTGTCGCCATCCCGGTCGCCTCTGCGTTTGCGTCCTCCGCTAAATCCAACTCCATGGTGGAAAAGGAATGACGAAATTGGATTTGGAAGAAGCCAGCGCCGACCAAGTCTCTCTCTCTCTCGGCTGGGAAAGGGTAGAAATTCACAAATGGAGTTAAAAGCAACAGGGGGAAAAGAGAGGCCAAAGCACGAATGGGAATGGTGGTAGTAGTTTATCATGTAAGTGTATTGCTTTTTAGTGAAATGGTAGTTTTCTTTTTCTGTAGTGGTAGTGTTTTTCACATTGGTATTATTTTCTATTTTTTTGCATTGGTATTGATTATTATGTAATGGTATTGATTTGCTTTTACTGATATTGATAAATCTGCAATGGTATTGGTGTTTTGTGAAATGGTAGTGTTTATATTTCTCAGATGGTATTAGTGTTTTATGCATTGGTAGTGTTCTTTTAATGGATTGGTATTGTTTTATTGTTGCAGCGGTATTAGTTCGGCTGAACGAAAACAAGAAAAAGATTGAGAAAAAGAAGGAATGAGATCTGGCCGGAGATTGTGGAAGGGATAGAAAGAGAAAATTGTAATTAATATATTTTTGTAACTTTATAAAATGTTATTTGTTAAAAAATATAATTAATAATTTTTTTGTCATACCCAGTTTGCCCTTAGTAACCACGGTGATTACTATAAAATAGTAATCACCGTCACTTGTCCCGGCTAAGGGTCAAGTTGGTAATTTTTCTTACATCCCCCCAGGAGCCCAGGTATCATATACGCCCCAAAAAAAAAGAGCCTTGAATACTAGAAGAAAAACGCCTATACCTAGCAAAATTAAATGAATACCTAAAATTGTTGTCATTTTATTTCTATCTTTCCATACATAACCAAAAAAAGAAAAAGATTCTTCAAGAGTTTCGGGTCCCAGAAGTGCATGACAAATACCACCAAACCCCAATATTGCAGAGGAAATTAAGTGAAGTACGCCAGAGACAAAGTATGGAAAGGTGTCTATAACTTCTCCGCCGGGTCCTACCCCCGACCTAGAGTAGCTAGGTGGGGAAGTAAAATTAATCCTTGTTCATATATTGGCTTCTCCGGTACGAAATGAGCCACTTCAAATAGGTTCATTGCTCCAGCCCAGAATACGATCAATCCAACATGAGCTACATGAGCTCCCAGCAGTTTACCGGATAAATTGATAAGTCGGGCATTCCCGGCCCACCAAGCGAAACCGGTGGTTTCTTGGTCACGACCAGCTAAAACTAAAGTTCCATTAAAGAGCGTTTCCACGGGGTAGAACCTCCTCAGGGAATATAAGGTTTTCATGAGGCTGATCTTGAGCCGCCATCCAAGCACGAATACCTTTAAGAGAATATTTTTGGTGTAGAAAGTCTCAAATTCAGGATCTTCTGCTGCACGTATTTCCTGAGAAACAAAGTCATAGGCGTGTAGGTTCAGAGCCAGACCGACTACTCCAAGAGCACTCATCCATAAACCGGTTACTGGTACAAATAACATAAAGAAATATAACCAACGTTTATTGGAAAAAGCAAACCCAAAGATTTGGGACCAAAAGCGGTTGGCGGTGACCATTGAATACGTTTCTTCGGCTTTGGTTGGGTTAAACGCACGGAATGTATTTGCACCATCACCATCTTCAAATAAAGTATTTTCTACAATAGCACCATGAATAGCGCATAACAGAGCCGCGCCCAATACACCGGCAACTCCCATAATATGAAACGGATACAGTGTCCAATTATGAAACCCTTGGAAAAAAGAGGATGAATCGAAATATAGCTGCTACACCAAAACTGGGTGCAAAAAACCAACCAAACTGACCTAGTGGATAAATTAGAAATACAAAAACAAAAACAGCAATTGGGCCGGAGAATGCGATTGCATTATAAGGGCGTAATTGCATAGAGCGAGCAAGCTCAAATTGATGTAACATAACTCCAATTAATTCGAAAGCGCCGTGGAGATGCCTATCTTCTTCCTCCACCGTGTGCGTATGATCCTAGCGGCGCTCCATATCCGCCGTGCGCGACTGATCCTTGAAACGGTCCGCCGTTGCCACCGTGCCGGACTTTCGCAGATCCATTCGCCGGCCATGGTTGCTGCTCTCCGTCGCCGCGCTTGTCTGACCGCTGGTGCTATTCACTGTCGCCGTCTTCGCCTCCGTCAGCGCGGTGTCCTCACCAAGCTCAAATTGGGTAGTTAAATTACCATTACTACTGTCGCTAGATGCAGGTCGAGGTATCATAATCACGCGGCCACCTGGTGGAGCAAATCGTCGAAAACTACCCATTTTTTATTTATTTTGTGACTAAAAGAAATGTAGTCATCCATAAGTCATCTATTGTCGAAACAAAAAAGAAAGATAAGTCATCCATAAGTCATCTATAGTTATTTCTTATCTATCAATTACACAATAGATAAGTCATCCATAAGTCATCTATTGTCGGAAGAGAAAAAGATAAGTCATCCATAATGATTAGGACTTGCATAGTAGCTATAAAAGGATAGTTATTTATTATGTATTAATTAAATAAACTCATTACGATAGGTACTTCCTACTATAAGTTTGAATGAAAAATTATTTATTATTAACTAAACTGTTGACTATCACATCAAATTGGATTACACAAAGGTTATTTTCCTATAACAGTTTCATCAATCTCACATTTTTCACAATTTATTTTCTTGATTATTGACTAACAATATTTCATTTTTAAATAAAATATTCACCATGTCGTCAATTTATATTACGAAAAGGTTCCATAATGTTAGTTAACTTCTACGTGACAGTTTAAATAGGAGCAATGTAAGTAATAGATTCCCAATGGGGTACATTTCACATAGTTTCAATTCCATATGCCCAATTTCATCGTAAGCTCTTCCTTATTTGCATTATACAATGATTTTTCAAAATCAATTATTTTTTACATAACATTTTATCTCCTATACTCAATTCCTCATATTAGAATGATATTCAAATATGATATTTTCCATAACTGTATTTTATTATTAGACCACACATTATGAAAGATTACATAAAAATATTTGTTAATGGTTACATTACGAAAAGGTTTCATAATGTTAGTTAACTTTTAAATGATAGTTTAATCAAATGTGATATTTTACATAAATTAATTTTATTATTAGACCATATTTATGAAAGATCTACATAACAAAGTTTATTAACAGATACGTTATGAAAATATTTCACAATGTTAGTTCATTTTTACATGACAATTCAATCAAATGTGATATTTTTCATAACTTAATTTTATTATTAGACCACACATTATGGAATATTTACATAACACCCTTCATTAACAGTTACATAAATTACAATATATTACCTTAAACTTATGGAGTAATATAATAGATATTTCTTATGTATCACTTGAGCAAACTTATGGCATAATTCATTAGTAATGATTTAGATACTATGTTGAGCATATATTGATATCTTACTCAAATTTTATGAATTACTACATCATTAAATATGTGGATGAAATTTTAAATATAATTAGTTTCTCACGCTGCAAAGCGCGAGCCAAAAAGCTAGTATATTTATTATTCACTGCAGTAGCAATAACAGTAAAGGGTGGAACAGTCGCAAGTCCCCCGGAAAACGTTACGATCTTGTCCCCGACAGAACCAATCGTAATATCGATCACATGCAGCATCGTTGCAAGAAGGAGTGCAATAATCCTGTACCGAAGCCGTATTGTTCTTGGATGTTGACTGAATTGTGACCACACCTGTTCCACTTTTAGCCACGAGATGGGAGGCCAAAATCTGGTGGCTACTGCATCATCATTGACGATATCGAATCAGAAAAGTAGCGTAATTATAAGCTGATGAGTCTTCCTGCTATAAATTGTCGATCTATATATAGTGTAACGAAATAGGAAGAGGACTTCGATATCTTCATTGCTTCCCCTTGTCTCTCATGGGTAAAATTGTGAGCTTGTTGTGCTTGCAGGCTGCAGCAAGAGGAGGGGGACAACAAGGCATTTTGATTTGTTGTGTTTGTTTTTGCTTTTGGTTGAAGAGTTTTTCCAAGCTTTATGCCTTAAATTACAAGGAATATTGCTTACTACATATTGATCACGTTGATGTCATTGTAGCAATTTTAAATTAAAAATTCGTTTTGATAAATGATGATTTATTAATAATGTGAAAAAAATAATCAAGGGTATATGGTGAGCGCCAATGTGGTGGTGTTCCCATCTAGATCTCATCCACCGTGAGGCTGAATCATGTTAAAATTCACGTGTCAATTTACTTTAGTATTGCATACCATTTCCTTCTGCAAACAAAACCTTGTGTAGTCGTCTTGAATATACAATTATATACATATTTTCTTCACTATATAAATGTTTGGGGCACATTATGCACCCGCCTCATAATTCTCTTTTTGAATGACTTGCTCATGTAAAAATAGTCTCAACCATTGATTATAATGCAATGAAAAAGAAAACGAATGAATTTGGATGAAAATCAATTATGATTCTTATATTTTACGTTTTAATAGTTTAGAAATAAGGATTACGGGCATGTTACTAAATGTCTGTTTGTTGTAGTGGCAGATCACGATGATGTGATCTCTTTTGAGATCTTCAAGTAATTTTCAGATTATTATTGCGTAATATATGGTAAAAATATTGGATTAATGAAGTTGACGAGATCGACCACTTATTATTATTATTATTATTATTTTATTGATGACCGAAACAAAGAAAGAAAGACAAATCCATACAAAACAGTCCCTAAACCATCGAGGAACTGAAGAATGGGCAGCAATTATTAGGAGTCGACCGATCACTTGCCAACCGGGACAAGAAGAAAACACCGAAATCATCGATCTAAAAGATCGAGCACATTAAATTGGAAGAAAAAAACACACGTACACATGAAAAGGAGAAGAAAAAAAAATGATAGAGGCACCAAATTGCCGTGCCGAAGACGACGATGATGATGATTCGTGCATGCACCTCGATGGATCTTTGCCGTCATCAACGTAACTAAACATTGACATATATATATTTATTGCGGGCAGAAGCAATAACAGCTATAGGCAGCACAGTCGCAAGTCTGAAAGCAATTACTAGGTTGACCATCACACAGATATGGATAATAGTTCTTACACGCAACGTCGTTGCAGAAAGGATTGCAATATTCATATACCGATGCCGTGCCGTTGTTGTTGTTGGATGCTGCTCGAGGTATTTTCATGGCGTTACCAGCAGACTCCTTCGGACCCACGATTCTCGATGCGCTCGAAGGCAAAACGGCGACGACCCATATTACGACGAGCAGAAGCAAGATGGCCGCCGACTTAGAAACACTTGTGCGCTGGATCATCAATATCGCCATATATATAAGCTGTTTTTTCTTCTTCTTCTTCTTCTTCTTCTGAGTTTTCTTTCGAAGTGAGTTCGATCGTTGTGCATGCATGATCTATTTATGAAGATGGACTACTTCGATATCTCCATTGCTTCGGCCTCTTAATTGTCTGATGGGATCTTTGCCTGCCGTCATTGCACAGATAATACCTCGTATAGATAACATCAAACACCTTGGTTTAGGGCGCGGAGCGGAGGGGACAAAGTCTCCTTGTTCTCGTTGCAAGTCTTAGTTTGTTTTTCCTTACCCCCGGCCGGGCAGTATGGGATTTTCTTTCTTTCTATCTTGGAAAATAAAAGAACAATCGATATGGTTATGTTCAAAATTAATTTATATATATATATATATATATATATATATATATATATATATATATATACCAGATAAATTGCTCACAAATTACAAATAAAAAAAAGATAAATTGTAATTTTCATAATTTAGTTTGTATGTGTAAGGATTTGGTAACAATATATATTAAAAATTGGTTCCAATTATTGAATATGCTTGGTGTATATATAATGCCAAAAGTCACCCAGTGCCGGAGTCAGGAATTCGAACGATAGGGGCTGATTTAGATTGTCGTAATTGGAAAAGCGGAGGGCTCTTTACCAATTATTTGCAACAAAAAAAAAGCTTTATTAACTATCATGACTCCTAAATTTGTGTAAAAGTTACATGCAATTTTACGTATATTTCAATATTGCGGGGCTATAACTCCTCCTAACTTCAACCTAGCTCATGAAGCTACCACTATATATGCCCTATCGTGATCTTGTACATTTTAAGTTGGGCAAATAAAATTCATTAGCCAAACCCTTCAAATTATTAGCCAAATCTTTCGAAATACAAAATATTGACCAAATCCTTTCTAACACATAAAAATATTAGTCACGTGTCTGTTCCCGTTAACGATAATAGTTTTGTAACTATTATTTTAGTTAAACATTAAAGTTTTGGAATGTTGACTGCCACGTGTCTCTTCCAAGTCAGTGTAATATTGCCAAGTCAATATTACTAACAAACTACAAACAGGAAGTTGACATTTAGCTAATATTATATAGGATAATGACTATTTATTAGCCAAAATTTTTCGGATTCTTTTTTATTAGCCAAATCTATCGAAATACTAAGAATTAGCCAAATGTTAACTTTCAGTTAGCAATTTTGTTAGTAATATTGACTTGGGAACATGATACTGATTTGGAAGAGACACATGAATGTCAACATTCCAAAATTTTAGTAATTTAACTAAGATAAAAGTTACAAAATTATTAATGATAACGTAAAAATGGTTAATATTTTGATGCATTACGAAAGGTTTGACTAATTAATAGTATTTTAATATGTTTGGATAATGTAAAAGAATAAGAAAATAAAGGTTTGGATAAAAAATAAACATTACGCTATTTTATATTCAAAATATTTGGCTAATAATTTGAAATGTCTAAAATATTTAGCTAATGAATTGTATTATCTGAAGTTAATAAATAACATTTAAAAAAAAATCTATTTTGATGACGTGGGGCCAGTCGAGCACTTTGAGTGGATGGGCTAAAACTTGTCAACTGGACTTGAGCCCGGCCACAGAGGAACCTTACGTACCTAAGTCCATAATCCACGAGCAAATGATTCTCCTCACAAGTGGCCAGCCCGCGAATGTGCTACAAAATACCTACTTTACGAGAGCCCAGCCCATAATTTCGTTTCCTTCGCATAGCCTAACCCATAGCCTGAGAATTGAGATAGATATAAAGAGATATTACTCTTGATGAAAGTAATGAATTTGTGTTTAAATTGTTAGAGACACCAAATTCAGGTCCTATCGACGAAGATGGGTGCATGCACCTCGGATCGATCTTTCTTCAATTAAACATAACGTATCTATTTCGTAGGGCTGACTATTTGGTTCCGGACTGTTTGGTTTTACCCGAAACCGGACCGTATAACCTTGATTGGGACCGGATAGCAAACAATGCAATCTCATATTCAGGCTTAGATTTGAGGTAAAAAAACGGATAAAGACCGGATAAGAGACCCCCAACACCTAAAATCAAGATAAAATTGGGACCGGACTATCCAATCCAATCTTTGGTCCTTATATTCCCGAAAAGACCGGTCTGGCACCGGATCAATTTGGTCCAATTTAACCGGACCGGACCGTATAGCCACCCCTACTATTTCGAGCAGAAGCAATAACAACTATAGGATGGGCAGTCGCAAGTAGGATAGCAAGTACTAGGTTGATCATCACACAACCATGGGTGATAGTTTTCACACGCAACGTCGTTGCAAAAAGGGTTGCACTATTCCTATGCCGAAGCAGTACTACCGTTGCTGAATGCTTGATGTATCATCACGACCGAACCGGTTCCTCTCTCAGGTCGCTTCAGAGAATGCAAGTTCTGGTGGTTGCTGCAATGATTATTGACAGGGATTATGCATAAGCAAGAATTAGTTGATGATTAATTCGCGAGGTTGCATTAGAGGGGGAAAAAAGCAAATTAGACAATTAATGTTCATCGATTGTCGGTACGTAGATCATTAATTAGACTACTATACCTGACGTTAGTCGGAGCATTATTACCAGACTCCGGTCGGATGACGATTCTCGATGCGCTTGAAGCCAAAACGCCGGCGACCCATATGACGAGCAGAACCAAGATGGCCGCCGACATTGCAAAACTGGTGGGCTGGATCATCAATATCGACATAGCAATACTAGTGGGTTTTCGAGATACACTCATAAGTTGTTTTCCCGATATCTCTATTGCTTCTGATCTATCTATAAATAGTGTAACAGGTTACGAATTAGACGACTTCGATATCTCCATTGCTTCCTCTTGCCTCTCAAGGGATCTTTGGCGTCATTAATATTGCGCAGATAACTCGTATAGATAACATCAACACCTGTGTTGGTTTGTGGACAACTTTACTTGGCTGATCAAAGGATTCCCCTTGTTAAATTTGTGCTTCGCAAGCTCTGTTTTTTCGCCCAAGCGCCTGCCTGCGTGCCTGGGTGGGTTTTTAATATATAGTTTTGGATTATAATTTGAACCAATTTGAATTGCACCAAACTTGGTCTATTGGGTCCAGATGATTGTACATTCAAAAAGATAATATCAACCGTTACTTGCTTTCAACCAATTCACACCTTTAAATCTTGGCGTTTCCACATGTTTGTTTGTTTGATAAAAAAATAAAAGGCAAAACATCATTAGAAGTGTGTATCCATTTTCTTATAGGTATCTAATATCGTGAGTCAAATTTGAACCCAAACTAAAAAAGTCAGAAGTAAATATGCTCCAAAAGTAATATTACTCAAACCTAATTTCACTCGTAAAAAGTTGTGTTCCGCAAAAAGTTGTGTTCATCAACTGCCGACGTGGTCAGGCTGTTGATGAACATGAATTGCACAAACAACCACCTTAATTTCATGTTCGATGTATTTTCTTCTTCCTCAAACGCCAAAACCACAATAATTTGTTAAACTAATTTTCAGACATATGATATCGTATTTCCCTTCAGACCCTACTGTAATACGCTTCATTATTAACCATGATATTAATTACGATGGTGAAATAGACATTATTAACTACCGTATTTGAGATGGTGGTCAAAAGTATTTTTTTTCCTGTAGTTAGGTCCTAATATAATTTCATCATCATTTTCTTCCGAAATAAACTTCATCACATGAATTAGGTTTCACAGATTGATGACACGTAAAAGTATCTGTTCTAGACCCCATATTGTGACCCAAATTGCATACATTTTCCATCATCATCGTTATAATACATTGAGTTATTATTCTAGCAACACTAGGATTTCTTTTATACGATTGATACCCTTTTGGTAGCATTTTGTGCATTTTCAGGGCAAAGCAGTCTAGTGGGCAACTTGAAAGCCGATGAACATCCAAAAACCCCTCCCCATGGCTGGCTAAGTTACTTGCATAACCTCTTTAAATTAATAATCAATAAATTAATAGCCTAGTATAAACTAATAATTTCTCCGGTCCCTACTTGGGCCGGTGTAAAAAATTAGCAAATTTAATAAAATAATAAGATAATAAGTTTTTAGAACCAACCTACATAAATACATGTATTTTTAACTCTATAAATTAATAATTATAAAAATACAATCATCTAGAAATTTATAATATAGCTAGGATAATCTAAAATAATATGAATATATAGTTGTTTGTTTATTGTTGAAGTTCAACTGTAATAGAAGTTCATCTTGAACATTTCTCATTGCACTCAAAGTCCGAGGTGTTGTCTTCTCTAATTGCATCAAGTATTTTTTAAGATTCGATACGGTTTTAAGTGCTTCCTTTCGCGTGACCGATTCCAAGGTGTTGAATCGTCATCTCCTTCATCCTCAATTGAACACCCAATGACATCAACCACAATTTCTTCTAACGTTTGTGCAGCGATACATTCATCATTTTCACTTGGATACTTCAACAAATGACTTACATCCATCTTGTTGTTATAACCACACCATTAGTCATATCGTATGAACTTGAAATGTTTGGAAGATACGATGAACATACATCATAAGAAAAACCTCCTTAAATTAATAATTATTAATTTATCAATTAATTAATAACTACTATAAATTAATAATTTTCACTGTCCCGACTACATTAATTTATAGAGGTTATACTGTAGTTACATAGGCATGTGAACCCTAGGGGTTCTACCCCACGTAAACTCTAAAATTTGGTTAAAATGATTGTTCGATTTTCATATGCTATGCTTGATTTCCTCTATATTATCTTTTGTTGATTCGAATGATTGCTTAGTCGACCATGCACTCCTTCAAGGTGCAAGGATCAAAATCCTAGTTGTTTATGATGGGTCTAGAAATAGTAGTCCTACTCGATCAAACACCGTGACGCCTCAAGGGATAAATCTGAAGGGTCATCATCGCCCATCAATTCGGGTAAATGCTTCGACACAAGGTGGGCCTAACGGATTAAGAAATCGGCAACTTGTATGCTGAGATCATCGAGCGTGAGTGGTTAATAGACCAACGCATGCGTGCTAACATTTACAATCGAAGATAAGCAAAAAGAACCAAAAAAAAAAACATTAAAACAAGATAACAACACAACATTTATTCCATCCCATCAGGTCATAATACATATATAAGGTCATATAGTAGTAGTAGGTCGCAAGTAACGAGGCACAAAGTAGCAAACATAATTATTATCATTGTAAAGCAGAATAGATAATTGAGAAAACAAAGTCCACATTGACTTTATTTGCAAACGAAAGCGATCTCCGGTTCCCGTGGTGATGTACTGGTAATCCCATTTCATGCATATCTGTGATCGTGGAAAAAAAAAAAGACTTCATCATCACAAAGTTCAATTGAGTTGGTTTTCCTGCGCGATCGACTTCTCTTAAACTATATATGCTGTCAAGATGAACGAAAACGC